AACTCGATAAGTTACGTTGTTTAATTTTTCCACATTTGCGCTTTCACAGATGTTAAACGGAAATTATTAAGCGTATCCAGTACTATTAAATTAGTGATAACAATTAAGATCGGAATAATTACCGATACAAATAAAAACTTGCGGAATCATTACGATGCGAACGTACATAGACACCCTACATAGAACCATAAACCATAGTATATTTTTATTGCAGTTATGTCACAAGTGGAGTAACTAGATCAATGTTCTGTAACATACTAGATGTCGCCCTGAGAAAAAAACGTTACTATTGGTGTGTGTGCGATGAGGTTGTGTAACTGTGCCAAATGATTATCACTAAGATTATTATTTATTATTGTGGTTGTAATCCAAGCTCACGGTTCTGTAGTGTTCGGTGGTTAAAATAGCCCATTGGTATCACACCGTGAATGCCTCCACTCATCTTGAGACAAGCTTTTAATGTTGTATTGTATTATGACTGGCCCTTCAAGCTTGCGTGTACGCACGCCGATATAATTCTAAAGTGCTCTCATTACACATGCGTTTAAAAGAATAATAAAATAAAATAAAAACGTGAGCGTACACGAACTTTCACCGACACGTGTACAACAGTTATCTAATGAACGGTTACGTCAATCGGGCCACTCACACGTACAAGGGATCGTTTTTTTTTTTTGGATTACAATCAGCCAATTACCATAAAGAATTATATTTCTTAATCACCTTATAATTAGTGGCGTAAAAAACGTTCACTGTAAACAAAAAACATAAATATTTAGATATTCGGCTTTCACCTTTTACGTTTTTCATTTAATCGTAAAAATGTAATGCTATTTTACGTTAATTTTTTTTGGATCATCGTAGATATATTATTTATAACTTCTTATACTAGAAAGTATAAAGGCGGACTTAATGCCATAGGCATTCTCTAACAGTCTACCTTAGGGGAGTGCAGAGATGAAGCTTGGTAGGTGTACTGTGAAGGGGATATTACTTAAACATATATTATGTGTATATATAACATACATAATACATAGTACTTAAATAAATACATATACATAAATATATAGATATATATAAATATATACATATAAAAACATATATAAACAAATATTATCAATTAGATGACTCGCTAACTCTCTGAGAAACAGTTCTTATTATCGTATGTATAATATTTAATAAATGAAAAAATTAATTAAATTCATCATAAAACATTGTTGTAAATTACTAGCCGTACTCGTCCGATTCGCTGCGCCTTTAAAATTAACATTATTATTTATTTTCATTATTATTAGGCAGTCCAACACTCATATAAATATTAGCCTATCCATTAAGTACATGTATTTTCTACATGGTTACCAAGTTTCAAGTCAATCGGATGCATGGTTCAATAGTTATAACGGAAGATCGGTAAAAACCACTGTAGATTTATATAATAGTATAGATAATTCATTCTCGCTCACGACTCGGTCGTGCGCGGACGTGCTTTCCGATCCGTGGCCCGCTTGCGAGCCGCGTCTCTGAACTCACAGTTGTGCTCGACAGTGTAGTGACCGTGAATACATCGTGCGTACAATTCGGTAGTGCGGACGTGCCGATCCGTTGGTCGCTTGCGATCTGCGTATCGAGGTCCATTTTTGTGCGCTNGAAACCAAAAAAAAAAAAAAAAAAAAAAAAAATAGATAATTGATGATTAACGGAATTGTCAAATCAATTAACAGCTGTTTTAATAGAGTTGCCAATATGCTAAATTTAACCTTTTAGAATGCTAATTTAGTATGTTTTTTTTTAATAAACAAACCTATAAAATTAAATATGGGGCAATCGATCTAAATAGTAAAGGTTAGAATCGATATGGCTCAATAGATGCGGAGGCGCATCGTTCAATGAAACCGAGAGTTCTGCCCACGGCTCTCATCTGGCTGGGTCAAGTTATATAGCTTTCACTGTATTGCTTAATTGCGACCTTTGTTATTGAATAATGTTTTATGTAATATCGTGTGAACATACCGTCGATGTTCATGTAGAAACCTGCTCTTGTGTCTACAAGACTTAAGTTATCCAAATGACGATTGAGTCCAATTTAGAGTGTTCAAATAATTGTGTGTATTTTTTTTTCCGAGACCAAATGTCAGGCAAACCGAAAATGCTGTTTGTAAGTGTACATACAGTCCCCTCCATTTTTACCGGAAAGTGGGCATAGGTTCTGGTTGCAAAGATGTGATGTGATAGTTACTAAATAATAAATTTTAGACTTTGATTTTGAACATCATTAGTTATAGTGGGTCACAAGATATCTTACTGCAAGGAGAAACATTAAAAATTAAATCAGCGCAGCAATGTTGCAATAAAAGAGTATCGATGTAAAAATTAATTTTTCTACACAAGAATTAAGAATTTTATACTACACCTGATTTGTCTTATTACAGACAGCAAAACGTGGGCTTAAAATTTTACCAAACATTTATGAGAAGTTAATGATATTGCGTATTAAATTTCCACACATTTTTTAACCTTGCATTTAGAATAACGTAGGCATTTTAAGGATTGCGAATAGAAATTTAATGTTCTTGAAAATGGGAACAATTAACATGTAAGCAACATTTTCATCTTAATTAGTAGCAGCAAGTTAAGTGTTGCAATGGAAACTGAATCGACTCGTTTTGTTCTTGTTATAACTGAGATTATAATGTAAATGGTTTTAGGCTTATCATATTGAGTTGATTTATTTTATTGTAGATATGTTTAATCATCATCAGTCTCGAAGAAGTTGTAATATGCATAGGTTTGTCTTGTTAATGGAAAATTTTATACATGTAAGGTATGATTTGCGAATAATATTTAATATTAATAAAACATTTACAGTTGCTCAGTCATATTAAGCACGACTTGAACTGTTGTTCACCTCGGTTTCCTAGTCTCATAAGAAAGGTAGTACGGAATGTAAAGGTTTATGTAGATGAGATTTTTGTTGTGTTTCCTATCGCTCGTGAAACAAGGTCAAATAGTTTGAATAATAATAACTCGATGAAAAGCAGTTCAAGTAACATAAATATATTATGTATTGAAATGATATTTTAAAATGCTTAGTAAGAAATTTCTGAAAGGTCCTGTTACCTATGTATATACAAATATTTGTACTGCACATTTAAATTTAAAACTATGTAGTTACGTAATGATTTTTACGCATACTTCCTTGAATCATTACTAATTTCAAGACTATTGATTTTACTTAGAAAATCGCGATAGAATTATTTTTTTGTACTGTTGTTTTCCACATATCCGGGATGTTACGTGATTCAAACTTAGCTAATGATATCGCTGGCTCTCCAGTCCGGTAGTCTTTAGAGCCCGTTAGTTTTTGTACTTTCGGGTTTAATAAATATAAACTCAATAACACAATAAATCATATACTCCTACAGTACTTAATGTGAAAATCAAAGAGCTCACGCGAATCCGTTTACACAAAATTACATATAATTGGTTTTAATTTCAACACGAGTAGATATTTTGTAATGATCACTAGCTAGATGCGATTGTATAACGTAATGCATTGAATACACGATTAATTACGCAATAAGATACGTTTTTTTCTTCAAATACTTTAATTAATAATAAGTTAAATGTAGTTCAGGCAATGAAATAACTCCTATATGAAAGTTTTTTTGGATGGTATGGACATGTGATGAGACGAAATGGAAATGAGGTTGGCAAGAGAGTGTTAACTATGAATGTGGAAGGATATAGAGGAAGAGGTAGACCTAAGAAGAAATGGATGGATTGTGTGAAAGACGATATGGGTAAGAGGGGAGTGAGCGAAGAAATGGTATATGATAGAAGAGTATGGAAGGAGAAAACATGTTGCGCCGACCCCAGGTGACTGGGAGAAGGGCAGGATAATGATGATGATGATGAAAGTTTTATATTACTGACTTATTACAAAAGAGCGCGGATGCATAGCTTTAATCACAAATGTCAACCGGTACCTGTATTCCAGTAGCATACTTCTTACATAACGTGAAGTAAACAGTAATACTATACAACTCGTGTGCAAACAAGACGATGATGTCGAATTACTGAGATTACATCTTGCGGTTTTCGTGTGGTCTATTTGCGTAGCTGTCATTGTATAAAACAACAAACATATTGTATTCTAAATGCAACTTTATCGTTAACATCATAAGAAGCAGTGTCGAAAATTGGCGTTACAGCTGCAACAGAAAATGCAAGCATCTAGGCTTTCGCAAAAATATGCATGCAACATTGAGTGTTATGTAAAACTCGTAACAATAAAAGTTATTATTCCAATTTGCTAATCGAGTGCTATTATGATATTACTGCACCCACTGAACTCAAGCAACGGGTCAAAAGCCACGTGCAGGGTGCACAAACAACGCCTCTAATTTACTAAGCCTATTAGACTTTGTCGCGTGTTAGTTTATTACTCAACACTGCATTCCGAGGAGAAAGAGCGGCCCTGCCCAAGACCAGTGTGTTGCAAAATATTGCCATAAACGCTGCTTAGCACACTTTGTTGTAGCTAATTTTGAAATTGTCAGTAAATTTCAAGAGGATTTCGGTGTGTCCGTTTCATAATATACAAAGCGTATATTCTATTTATTAAAATGTGAATAATACATTATTGTATAATACATTATTTTTATATTATTATAAATTGGCCATAATAATATGTTGCCTGCATTGCAACAGTTGGAATTTACATAATAACAAGTTTTTTTTTATTTGTTAAAGATTTTATAGCTTTTATAGCTATTTACTAGAGCCTCTTGTGAGCCTATTTCTGCCGTGAAGCAGTAATGCGTTTCGGTTTGAAGGATGGGGCAGCCGTTGTAACTATACTGAGACCTTAAAACTTTGTCCATGGGCTCCAGTAACCACCTAACACCAGGTGGGCTGTGAGTTCGCCCACCCATCTAAGCAATAAAAAAAAAGCTCAAGCGAAGTAAACGTCAAATCTAATTTTTGCGTTTTATTCTCAGCTGTGGCCCAAGAGTCCTTCAAATGCCCCGACGACTTCGGTTTCTACCCTCACCACATCTCCTGTGACAAATACTGGAAGTGCGACAATGGTGTTGCCGAACTGAAAACCTGCGGTAACGGTCTCGCTTTCGACGCCACAGATTCCAAATACTTGACCGAGAACTGCGACTACCTTCACAACGTTGAGTGCGGAGAGAGGACACAGCTTGGTAAGTAATATTCGTATATTGGTAGCGTTAGAACAAAAAGAAGAGATAATTTTTTATGTCAATTATTTAACCGAGTAGATTTTGAGCCTGCCAAACTAGAGAAGTAAGTGCAATAACGTCTGTTTTATATCTTGCGGAAAATAAACAAGACGGTTGCATTTTTTTTTAAATTAGCTTACAAAATCGACACGATAATCCTAAAAGAAGATTTTTTAGTAACACTTAAATGCTTTTGCTTTGGAAAATAACACGAAATGAGTTTCAATCGGAATTTTTCCGTAAAAAAGTATTTAAAATAATAATCTAAAATCAAAAAATTCCATGTGATTATAATCATAATAAAATTTTAAATTCATCGCAGCGCTTAGTAACACTAAAGGTTAATGCTAAAAGTGAAGATAATGTCACGTATATTGATTGAATAACGAAACCAGGATGTGACAGAAGGTCATAGGATAAATATTCGCATCTGACGACATCTGAGACCGCTTACTTTGGCTAACGCATGTAATAATAGGATACGAAATATGTTAGCCTTGAACTAGAGCCGCCTCATTAATATTTAAATTGATGTAGGTACGGTTTCGTTTGACCAGTTTTGGAACTATTTTTATTTAAATAAAAACGATAAAAGCTAATGTTTTTATTCATGTCTGATTTGACTGGTTTTAAACGATATAATTGACATACATATATTACCATGAAGGTACCTTGTATGTGCCTATAGAAGTGATTTAAACTTTAATCGTGATAAATAGTTATGTATATTTTACTGGTGGTAGGACCTCTGGTGAGTCCGCACGGGTAAGTACCACCACCCTACCTATTTCTGCCGTGAAGCAGTAATGCGTTTCGGTTTGAAAGGTGGGGTAGCCGTTGTAACTATACTGACACCTTAGAATTTATATCTCAAGGTGTGTGGCCCATTTACGTTGTAGATGTCTATGGACTCCAGTAACCACTTAGCACCAGGTGGGCTGTGAACTCGTTCACCCATCTAAACAATAAAAACAAAATTAATATAAAGCATTACTCCCTTTTTTTGAACATTTTCGTAGATTCTTGGGTTGAGAAGCTTATAGACGTAGTTTCGGCAGATCATTATCAAAGTTTTTATTGTAATTTATTTACAAACTTGCATTAAGCGAACGGCATATATTTTAGTGCATTAATTGGTAACTGATCTTCCGCCCCTTAATTAATATTAAGGACTCCGTAGACATGACAACATAATAATATATGTACATATGCCGTCGTATGTATGTGAAGTCGAATTTTCAATTGTATTATGGCTGTCTTTCTGTCCTTCAAACTGGAATGCACGCCTACAATTAGTAAATACGCCATTGATTTTTATTATACACTAGCTGACCCGGCAGACTTCGTAGTGCCTCAATCGATAAATAAAAGTCCTAAGCTTTTGTAAAACAAACAAAAGTAATCCGTCCGACGGGGGGGGGGACACATCAAAGGGAAAACAAAATTGTTTTTTTATTATTTAATTCCTAGCATTTTCAAATTTATTTACCTTTTAAACCTTCTCTGGACTAACACGAATAATTCAAGACCAAAATCAGCCAAATCGGTCCAGCCGTTCTCGAGTTTTAGCGAGACTAACGCACAGCAATTCATTTTTATATAAGTATATAGAGATTATGATGCCTTCAACGTAGCATTCGTGGATAGAAGTCCAACACCAAGATAGTCGCACCGCTCAATACGAGTGCATTTCGCATTTCCTATTTTACAGCATCTACATGTTCATTATCAATTTCGTATAATTTTGTACAGAGCCCCCAATCTCCACTCCCCACTGTTCGAGACTGTACGGCATCTTCCCTGATGAAAACAAGTGCGACGTTTTCTGGAACTGCTGGAACGGAGAAGCCTCCCGCTATCAGTGCAGCCCCGGACTTGCCTACGACAGAGAGTCCCGCGTCTGCATGTGGGCTGATCAGGTTCCGGAGTGCAAAAACGAAGGTACGTACATATTTATAGTACTCGTTTATTTTACTGGTGGCAGGACCTTTTGTGTGGCCGCGCGGGTAGGTACCACCACCCCGCCTATTTCTGCCGTGAAGCAGTAATGCGTTTCGGTTCGAAGGGTGGGGCAGCCGGTGTAACCATACTCGAGACCTTAGAACTTATCTCAAGGTGGGTGGTGCATTTACGTCGTAGATGTCTATGGGCTCCAGTAACCACTTAACACCAGGTGGGCTGTGAGCTCGTCCACCCATCTAAGCAATAATAAAAAAACATACTGCTATTATTTATTCGTTGATTAAATAAAGCAAAGGAGAATATTTTATAAACGAACCTTGAGATACAACTTTCGAATCTGTTGTCAGTTATTTGCTGGTAAATACCAATCAATTTTAAAGTATTGAAGTTATTTTTTTCCGCAATTCACCCACAAATATTGACCATAGATATCTGTGTTATCATTAAGACTTCCACTTAAATTATGATTTAATTATAGAGCGTCAGATCATTAGTACTGTTCATTGTACATCAAACACTATTCATGTATTTATCTCTCTTCCTTGTCTGGTCAGAAAAGAGTTAAAAAAAAGACCACATTCTCATGACGACAGCATGATACCGACATACTTTGCCTATTATTGCCTATTTCTGCCGTGCAGCAGTAATGCGTTTCGGTTTGAAGGGTGTGGCAGCCGTTGTAAGTATATTGAGGCCTTAGAACTTATATCTGAAGGTGGGTGGCGCATTTACGTTGTAGATATCTATGGGCTCCAGTAACCACTTAACACCAGGTGGGCTGTGAGCACGTCCATCCATATGAGCAATAAAAACATTAAATTACTTATTTTTTTAAATTTCCTTTTTTTATTTCTCAGAAGTAGCAAACGGATTCGGCTGCCCGGCCCCCGGTGAGGTCTCCAACGCTGGCTCGTTCAGCCGTCACGCTCATCCCGAAGATTGCCGTAAATACTACATCTGTCTCGAGGGTGTTGCCCGCGAGTACGGTTGCCCCATCGGAACCGTTTTCAAGATCGGAGACGCCGACGGCACTGGTAACTGCGAAGACCCCGAAGACGTTCCCGGATGGTGAGTGAAATCAGCATTTACGCTAAACTTATTTGGATGTTTGCATTCGATCCATAAATACTTCCCAACATCTAATACGCAGCTTACTCGTAGTAAGTAGCTAGTGTAGTTTTTTCTTTCTTATTTTATTGCATACAGACTGCATATCTTTCTAATATTAATATAAACTCGACATTTATATCTAACTCACGTAAAGGATGTTCAATTTAAAGTACCAAGCCTCACATGATCGAATCCGGACATCCTGTTTCGTTCAAGCCCTGACTGACAAGCTTGAACGCAATTCCTCGTACTCGCTGGTACGACGTCATTGGTTCCGTGGTGTGGTTCTTTTTTATTTCGTCAAGTATCTTTAATACGTTATCTGGCGAATGTTAACTTCTAAAATTATGTTTTAATTTGGTGTCTTAATAATTCCCAATAATGTACCCTGTTACCATATCCACAAAACCAACGTTATCCCTGTGACTAACCATTCTTCTGCACCTTCTTGTTTTTAGTGTGAGAACTTGAAACAATACGTGTAGGTAGTTATGTTACGTAGTCGAAGTTCGACTGTTTAGAATAGTCGTCTACAGCTACGCGATTCGGAGCCTTGGTTTAGTATTATTTGAGTATGCTATAGAAATTAGCTTGGCTCTTAGAATAGCACGCCTATAGTCATGCATTGATGACCAGACTCAAAGACAACTGGTACGTAACGGAGCTAGCATGGTAATGACCATTTGTTCTAAAGAATTTGAACTTGTCGAACATTTGTGTAACTGAATCACGACAAAGGTTTAATTATCAATGCTTTTGTTATGCAATGAGTTAGAAGTAGTTCGCGGTTTCCAAAAAACAAATAGAGTTTGTGTTATACAATTAACGATACTATGTGTACTGTTTTGTAATCTAGACTCCTGAATGTTGAAATACCTAATTAATACGTTAAATTCAAACGTTTTCTTATAAAGATTAAGTTATTCAAAAGTTTATCTTTAAAATGGGAACAATAAGAAGATCTTTCAAAATGCGTCCGGTTCATGGTCTATATGCTCCGAACAATAACATTAGATTGATACTCGAGATGAGCTCGTGCCGGTCACGATGTGGCATCTAAAAGGAAGGTCACTCAAACGAGTTCTATACTGAGAAATGTTTTTGCAAGAGCTCCGATACCCGCTAAAGCTGAACGATAGGTTCATAAAACAAACATTGAATAACATTTAGTTGGAAAAGCGAACGGATATCTTTCTTGTTCGTTTCAAGGCAGTTCACTCCGAGTCGCCGACCGTAGACGAGATTTTATTTCACAATTCACGCTTCGAACAGACGTAGTGAATATGCTATTATAGATATTGAGTCAGCCGTTTATATATGAAACTGTGATAGGCTAGAGTTAAGGTTTTGTAGCCGAGACGTGAGGCAGTAAGTTTCGCGTACATTTTCAGCGAGGACTACTATGGAGAATTGGATCTGAAGGCGATCCGCAAGAGTGAGCTCCTCGCCGGGCTCCAGGCTGACGGCCAGCCTCGCCCCAACCAGCCCAAGCAGCTCAAACCCCGTCCTCCAAAGGAGAACTAAAAACACACTCCCACCCTTTAACCTTTAATACTCACGTAGTATAATATCAACAATTCTTCGCGAACCACTAGCAAATGTCAGGCAAATGAATCTGAGACCTCTAAAGTAGCTTTTGCAGCGCGGAGATAAAATCTCGGGCTTAAATTTAGTATATCGAGTGAATCGCGGTTAATGAATTTGTATTCACCGCAAGTTGCCAAAAAAATTGCTCTTTATAATTTTTTTTACACACAGTTTCATGAGGCCGGTTAGAAATTAGTGGAAACCATAAAGCGTTAGACATATTTATTTTATTATTGTTAGTTTCGATAATATCTGTCCATCTTAGCCTGTTTTGTTAAGACGTTAGGCATCCATTGTACGGAATAGCCTATATCGTTTCATTAGTAGGACTGCATTTAACGCATCATTGTTTTTTTTTTGTTTTGTAAAAGAAAAAGTCCAATATTCCGCTATCCATTCGAAAACACCATATTCATTATTATATCCTGTAAATATATTATTACTGAACTGTTTCGCTGCGACTGAGTGTTGTTGTTTTGATAGAAACTGTATAACTAAGTTTAATGTTTAGTGATAAAATAAACAAAAATTGATAAAAATAATTACGGTTTTATTCATTCTGTTTAGTTTCGCACTGTTGCACCGTTTTCCTATCTACTTTCACGGACACTGTGTTTCTTATTTCGATTGCATCTACTTTCTAACATCTAATTTCTTTAGTTCTTTTAGCACATAACTTTCATTTCGTACCTGGTCTATGTACACTGATACAACTAGACGGTGGTATGGTTCGATAAGGCACTGTCCTACCCTCGTATCTCAGGTACGTTCTGTTCTCACTTACTTAACCATTCAAACTAATGAGGTTCTAAATTTTAAGATCGAGATATGCGTAGTTAGCATGCGAGTTCCTGGTGAGTTGTTATCATGTTTTCTGTATATGCTTTAAAACGATCAAGTCTAGCTGTTTTCAGTTAACAAAAACGTTATATCAATTACGACAGATTCTTGAATGTTCCTTCTGGTTTACAGTGAGGATTACTATGGTGACGTGGATCTGAAGGCCCTCAAGAAATTGGGATTCTGAATGTCAAGGAGCGGCTCCAAGGACAGACTGAAACTCAATCCCTTCGATTTGATTTGAAATAAGTTAAAGTGGTCGTCATAAATCCGGAGTTTGAACTTTGCAACTAAAACCATTAGAATAAGTGCGTGTTTGTGTGTTACGTGGTTTGTGGCAATGTCTGTCTGAAGAGGCGCTCGATTCGAGAATATTCGGCGGGATGTAAAAAATAAATAAGAAATATAATGACTAATTGAAGCGTTAGTTAAAAGGTTTTTGTATTGCAACGAAAAAAGTTTTTTTTTTTTAAAGTAATTGGGTGTTCAATAAGCCCTTTCAGAGATTACCTTGACATGATACCAACACATTTTTTTCTGTATTAGCGGTTTGCTGGAAGAAAACTCATAAATAGACCGAGCTTCTTTTTAAATCTATTTTTTATATGTATCTATCTTATGTGTAAAATAAAGTTTAAGTATGAAAAATAATAAAACGACACGTGTTGGTGTTGTGTCGAAATTTATATTATTTTAGTCATAAAATATACTATATTTTGTAAGTTAAGAATAATTTTAATGTAAATAAAAATATTTTATACGAAAACGATTTATTTATTGAGTTGATGTTGAAGGTTACATACTCACTGAATTATTGTTTATACAGGTCTACAAGCTTACGGCCCACTTGGGTTTAAGTGTTTACCGTAGTCTATAGACATCATAACGTAAATGCCGCTACCGGTCATCCACAGTGCGTTTCCAGAGGTCTTTTTTGCCACGTACCATCCGGCTATGGAATGAGCTCCCCTCCACGGTGTTTCCCGAGCGCTATGACATGTCCTTCTTTAAACGAGGCTTGTGGAGAGTATTAAGCGGTAGGCAGCGGCTTGGCTCTGCCCCTGGCATTGCTGAAGTCTATTCGCGAGGGTAACCACTCACCATCAGGTGGGCCGTATGCTCGTCTGTCTACAAGGGCATTAAAAAAAAAATTAAAAACCGCCCAGAGACATGAGGTCTAAGTCTTCATAGTATAGAGAACGGTTATTACCATTCTTCGAACCGACAGAAATAGGCAATGTTGTGGTACCTATCAGCGCAGTTTTTGAATTCATATATCACAATATTAAAAAGGGGTTACTTTTGTAAATAAATACCTAATAATATGAAAACTCATGGCACATTATGTTGCAAACGGGTAGAGGGGGCCAGTGAAATCAGAATGAAAATGCTACTACTGAATAAGACAAGATGATGAAATTTTGATTTTAATGAAAGAACCTTCAAAATGGAATACGTCGACAGAACAGGAATAGAAAAGCAGCAAACACTAAAACAGGTTTCATAAAATCATTTCCTGCTTCCACTACTACTACTAGAAGTGATTTTCTCACTGCAAAATCTATAGAATTCTCAACATATATTTTTATACTTAATTTCATACTTTGATGTAGGTATTTCATTTGGGTGGGGCAGCCGTTGTAATTATACTGAGACATTAGAACTCATATCTCAAGGTGGGTGGCTGCATTTACGTTGTAGATGTCTATGGGCTTCAGTAACCACTTAACACCATGTAGGCTGTGAGCTCGTCCACCCAAATATGCAATAAAAAAATTCTCAGAACAGAAATGGTTACCTACAAACGAGATTAAAAAAAAGTCAGCGATATTCAGTGAATTGTCTTTTGTAATTATTTTTTTTTATTGCCCTTGTACGCAGACGGCATACGGCCCATCTGATGGTGAGTGGTTACCGTCGCCCATGGACTTCAGCAATGCCAGGGGCAGAGCCAAGCCGCTGCCTACCTACCTGTATTACTAGGAAATAGTAAATGTTATTAGGAAATACTTAAATAGGAAAAACCATGTCAGGGATTCATAATGTGAGCATCGTAAAACTATGCTTAAACAATAATTAAAACGAAAAACGTTAGATAAGATATTTTTATTTGATCAACTGATTGTTAGTATTGCAATAGTTTATATTAAATATAGTGTGAATCTTCGTAGAGTTAATTAAGTTAGGTGGTCACTTGCGACTCGTCTTCAACAGTACCTGGCGTATAGCATCTGAACGGGACATCGCTATATTAGTGGTGCTCCAGCCTAAAACAAAAAAGAATTTGCATCAATCTCAGTGTGCTTACACTATACCATTTTTTTTTTAAATATTTATTGCTAATATGGGTGGACGATCTCACAGCGCAACTGGTGTTAAGTCGTTACTGGAGCCCATAGACATCGACAACATAAATGCGCCACCCACCTTGAGATATAGTTCTAAGGTCTCAGTATAATTACAACGGCTGCCCCACCCTTCAAACCGAAACGCATCGCTGCTGCTAGAAATAGGCGGGGTGGTGGTACCTACCCGTGCGGCCTCATAAAAGGTCCTACCACCAGTAAGAGTACCATTAGCTCGACGATCAGCGTCAGGTAACGGAAAACCTATATTCACTTACTTTGACTATTGTAGTTTGAATTTTCAAACAGAAATATAGGTGAATCTTCTTGTTTCGGAAGTTCAGGGTACAAAGGGGAGGATGACACAATAAGTGGAGTGGTAGTTTGTTGAGGAGGAGCTGTAGATGCTGTTGTGATCAGAAGAGCTTTGCCGCATTCCACACGGTCTGGGTAATCACATACTCCAAGTATCTGAAAATGATTGACATAAATTGTTTATGCATTTTAATTGTCTTTAGTAATGTTTTATTTCTTATGTACTTTTTTAAACATAATTAATATAAAACAGCAATGAAAAAATATCGTTCTAGTATTCTAGTATGGTAAAACCTGCCCTAAAATCGTCATTACGGATCCTCCCGATCTATTAGCGGTGCTTTTAGGTACCTCAAGCACCGCTCACCGTCCTCACCGAACCCATCGCTTGCGACGAAGGGCTCGACGAGTAAATTAACCCATAGACACAGCCCACTGAGTTTCTCGCCGGATTTTCTCAGTGAGTCGCGATTGCGATCCGGTGGTAGATTCTGCGAAGCACTGCTCTTGCTAGGGCCAGCGTTAGCAAGACTCCCGTTTTGAGCCTTGTGAGCTCACCTACACTTCGAGGAGAAGCTGAAATAACCCCACAAGGCGTAGGAAAGAAAAGAAAAGAAAAGAAAAAAAGGTCAAACCTTATAAATAAATAAATTAAACTTTAATGTTAATCAAATTGAATTATTCTTCTGCTACTGGTAGATGTAAAAAAGTCAAAAAAATAATTTGACAAGACCTATTAAATAAAAAAAGGTGTTTAAGACAAAGAGAGATATATACTATATAACTGTATATATTATGTATACTATATACTGTATACTATATAGGGTACTCATCTACGCGAGCGTCGAGCTCAATTTACTGAACACCCGTTCTAAGACCCTCAGGAAAAGGTAATTGCATATACATTATGTTCATATTTACTTAATAATATTTTACGATCATTTTTATAAAGTAAAGCATGGGAATGGTAATGTTGGTCCAATCTTATATAGTAGAATTTACGATAAAACCACTATAATTTTCACATTGCAGCGAGTTTCGAATGCTTTTTGCGATAAATATTTTAAAATATCTATAAAAACCCAAGATCACAGAAGTCCCTTCCTGGTTGGTAGTCGAGCTGATTTGCGGTTTGATTTTTATGTCTTTACCACAGATGTCATCTGCCAACAGGTTTCAGGTACATATTACCTTACTTAAATTGTACATACGGGATGTGAGCAAGCAATAAAAAATAAAAAAAACACCCCATCCCCCCGAACTCTAGGCCGACGACTTAATATTGCATGCACTATGAGTCATTATCTAAAACAACATTGCCATTTTTTAATAACGTTTAAATTAATTAAGGTCAGATAGTGGGTGTCCTTATTTGTTTTTGAGCAGTCATTAAATTTGATTACTTTCCATGTGAAGTGGAATGTTTTATAAAAGATATATAATTCTTCAGGGCTTTCATGTAAAAGCGTATAATTAATGGATGATTCGTTTTGGAAGTGTCCCTTTCTTTCTTGAGCTATAAAGGCTTCGTCAAACAGAACGTGTAATTAGCGCGCGTCAGAACGCTAAACTGAAGGCGCGCTATGACGCCGAAATGTGTTGTACTACTATAGTAATATACCGTCAAACAGAGCCCCAGCGCTATAAGTACGAAAAGAGCGCGACGCTAAAACGCAGCGCTAAGTACGCGTTCTGTTTGACGAAGCCTTTATTTGAACGAGATCACGGTAACTTCGTGTTAAGTATTTGTCGTATACGATAGGAACGACAATCAGTTGATGAATAAATCTATCAATAACCAAATAAGGAAACCGAGAAGAAATATATATGCAACAAAGTTTCTCAGAGAACTTTTTTTATTACTTTTTTTAATGCTTTTATGGATGCATGCCCTCATAGCCCACCCGGTGTTAAAGGGTTACCGGAGCCCATAGACATCTACAACCAAAGGCCGCTACAGACCTTGAGATATGAGTTCTCAGGTCTCAGTATAGTCACAATGGCTGCTCCACCCTTCAAACTGAAACGCATTACTGCTTCACGGTAGAAATAGGCAGGGCGGTGGTACCTACCCGTGCGGACTCAGAAGAGGTCCTATCACTAGTGAAATAAACTAAATAAATAAATTCTGGATATAAGATTTACTTAAATAAAGAAAGATTCTATTAAATCTTCTTTACTAGCATTAGGGAGTAACATGAACTTGGGTAAGTATCAGCTCTTTGCTCACTTCTGACTTGAACTAGTCATACATACCGGTTTGAAGTCGTTATCTAATACGATTGAGAATTCGACATCATGCCTTAAGTTGCGTGGCCACAGCCAAGTAATATCAGACAAAAAAATAAGATCAATAATATTTTTACAAATAAAAACATCGGTACTATTTTAAATCAGCCAATAAATAAATTTTTAACTACATTTCTCTAGTAATTATAATATTAAAGGACATAATAATAGGTTTTATTATCTCATCAACCTTCAGTAAAATTGAGCAACGCCAGTGAATGGTCGTGATGAATTTAATTTAAAAAAACACACACAATTAAAATGATCGCAATGCGGATGTCACAAACCTGGCTGTAGGCGAGGTCAGCTGGACAGTAGAACTTCACTGGCTGTCGATTCACACAAACGAAGAAAACGTTACAATTAAACTGACTTCGGAATGTCTCGAAGTCTTGGCCGCACTTTGGTTGGGGTTCGAGGAGAGGTTGAAGTTGAGGAGGTTGTGGTTGCGGTGGTTGTGGCTGTGGTACTTGTGGTTGCGGAGGTTGAGGATGTTGATGCGCTGGTTGTTGCTGTGGTGGTAGCGGTTCTACAGCTTGCAATGGCGGTCCGGTAGCCGGACTTTGTGGTTGAGCAGGTTTTGCAGGGGGTAATGGCGCTGGGGGCAATAGCGTTGGTGGTAATGCTTGAATACAGGGAGGTTGAGGTGGCGAAGGCGATACTGTTTGAGGAATCGGTGGGATCTGCGGCTGCGCTGGTTTAATGGGCTGTGGTTCCGGTTGTGGAAATTGCGGTATTTGAGGTTTACCTGAAAATAAATTGTCGCATGTTTTTGACTAAAGAATTGAAACTGAAAAGACTAATTAAAATCAGAGTACAAAATAGGAAATTTTTTTATTAGGCGTAATTAACAAATTTATATATTTCGGTTGGTATTCGTAACTCGCGGTTTACTTGTTACTAAGCGATTACATGAGCCACAAACATCATTGTTAACATGGTAATATCGTTTAAAAATCATCATCACTATCCTGCCCTTCTCCCAGTCACCTGGGGTCGGTGCAACATGTTTTCTCCTTCCATATTCTTCTATCATATGCCATGTCTTCGCTCACTCCTCTCTTACCCATATCGTCTTTCACACAATCTATCCATTTCTTCTTAGGTCTACCTCTTCCTCTATATCCTTCCACATTCACAGTTAACACTCTCTTACCAACCATCGTTTAAAAATATGCATAATACAAATTGCTTAGTACTCGTATGGTGTAGCAGTCATGCAAGAACAGGACCCGTTATAAAATGCTGAAAGCGCCCTGCGTTTTGAGTAGCATTAAATTTGTTGTTCAGAAAAAGGTAACGATCTATTTTCCCGGAATAAAGAGTTTTTTGTGACGCCCTCTGTGTGCTTAGTGCCAGTTTTTTAACGTTCTCGATAACGTAAAAGTTAACTCAAATTTGCATGCAGTCAGAACAGTGCCCCTAGCGGCAAACGTAGTCAAACGCTCCAATTCCATACAAATTTGAGTTAACTTTTACGCTATCGAGAACGTTAAAAACTCGCACTAAGCACATTGCTTCATAAATTATCTAAAATTTTGATATAGTACTACTATAGCAACAGTTGCCTTTGCAAAATTTGCTATTCGCATATGTAGCTATTCTGTTACCGGCAATAGGTGAAAAATCCGTTCTGTATAGAATTAACGTAAAATTGTTTCTTAATGACTGGTTATAATCGCAATCGGAGTATCTACTGGATGAATAGTTCTGGAGATAACGTTACGATTGGTATTTGACTTTTTAAATTTTAAAAGACAACGATAAATACTACAGGAAAAAAAAACACTATTTACATTGTTAGCAGTTCTTTACCGTAAAATCACTTGACTTCATCAAGACTTAAACATAGTGTCACATCCATTATGTTAATAGCAATGTTTTTTTTAAATTTTTTTATTTCGTTTATGGATGGAGGAGCTCACAGCCTACCTGGTGTTAAGTAGTTACCGAAGCCCATAGACGTCTACAACGTAATGCCACAACCGACCTTGAGATATGACTTCTAAAGTCTCAGTAGAGTTACAACGGCTGCCCCACCCTTCAAACCGAAACGCAATACTGCTTCACGACAGAAATAGGCGGGGTGGTGGTACCTACCCGTGCGGACTCACAACAACCACCAGTTGACTACCATATTTATATGTTTATTTCGGTCAAATTCAGCAAGCTAGAATGGAGCTCCATTCTATTTTACTATCTAGTCACTTTGTTTTATATTGGTTTAGTTTTAATGAGAATTCACTTTTAGATCTAAATGTGACTTTAACTAAAATAACTCTTCAAAGGTTAACTGCACAATAAATTTTTTGGACACTAAATTTGTACGAAATTACTGCGCGCATTTAATTATGGCAGTCCATTTAAGGTTTTATCTGCTAAGGGATGAGGATAATGATGGCTATGCTACAATGGGAGTTGGATCCTGACTGGGTAACTCTTTGATCATGATTAGCGGTACATACATAAAATAAATGAAAGATTGTTTAATTAATGTTATTATTATTGAATTGAAAAAATCGATCTTTCGTTTCGATCTAGAATTTATTTGCTCAAAGAATTGTCAACATACAGGTTAACAGTAAAGGCATACTACATTAGAATTATTTTTGAAAGGGTGATTGATATCTGTGATACTTATGTTTCCGTTGATCTTGAGTATCATTTATTTTTCATTATGGATATCATTCGACAACATGGTTCGAAGTAGGCACTTTATAAAAACAATTGCTGCTAATAACACTATTGTCTCGTCCAAATTTATTGGTTGCTTAAAAAATATCTAGGTATTCTTATTATTTTTATTACAGTAATATAAACAAAGATACATAGCACCCAGCGAGGGTACAGAACTGGAATATTATTATCTTACATGATGTTAATATCAGTATATGTACTTTTACAAATTCTAAAGAAAAGTGCCACATATTATTATAATGTAATTGCCTTAGTACTGAATGTTTAAAGAGTAAACATTTTGTTTATTAAAAAATAAGTTCCTGATCGTTGATTATATTTTTAAATATCTAAATCGCATTTGCACTCTTGATTATATACGTGAAGTAGAATACATTTTGGCGCCAATGGAATAGTCTGTACGGAATTAACGTAAAATACGTGAAGCAAAAACTTTATACCCTTTTTTACGAAAATTGCGCGGACGGAGGAGTATGAAATTTTCCACACTAATAGAAAATAAAGAGAAGAAGTGCACAGTGCAAATTTTTTTTTTTAAATTATGCGTAAAAGATACATTAAATCAATAAAAAAAACATTACACACAGTACCATGTATTTGACACACACACACATACTCTTTGTTTATTGCACTGAAGTATTGTCAAACTTTTGTTATTGCTTAAAGTCTGTAGTCAAATTGAAAATAGGTTAGTATTGTTTATCTTTAATATTACGAGCCTATAGTGTAGTCTTGGCGAAATCTGTAACAATAGGACGATAATAATGTTGAAACTTATAATTTCAATTAATTATAGTCGAATTTCGACTACTGCGGGACCACTAGTTAACGTAATAAACAAACAGCGGGGGTCAAACAACGTGTCAACTCTTGTGCAATGGAGTTTTGGATCACCGACTGACTTTACATAACTTGACATTTCTATATAAGACTGACGACATCCGTCCTAATAGTGGCATTACACAACATGTTATGTGTTTTACATATTCGAGTTGCACAGGATGGTTTTATGAGCGTTAAAATTTCCGGTGCATGAGAATTTATTTATTGATTTTAATTAAAATTTAAATTAAGAATTTCGTATATAAAATTTCTTTATTGAGTGTATATGTTTTCGAGCTACTAGTACTATGTTGTTAGCGAAGCGCATAGACTTCAAAACGGGAAACCATGGCTGCCTCGCATTAGAAATAAATATGATTGTGGTGCCTGCCACGGAAGCTTAAGTTGGCGAAAGTACATATTGTGAATTATTTGTTATTGATTATAATAATAATATTTATTTATCATCTTATTATTGTTAGCTCAAATTAAATGATATTTTCCAAATATATTAGGTCAATTGTTTCAAGATCATAGAGAAATTTGAAAGTCACCACATGTTGCTTAGTTCACGTACTTCATCATTAGATCTTCAACCATAAGATAACTTTATCAAAGAAACAAATTAAAGTAAGCGATTATTGGTCAAATAAATCATTAATCGTACAGAAAAACCCAACATATCCAAACACATTGAGTACACAAGTAGCGATTTCTGTCCTCGTCATAGTTATCTAATTATCGAACCGTTGGGTTATTGTAAAATCGTTCGCAGTAGCAAATTTCAGGATCAATTTTAAGTAGTTCCTTCTAAGGAATAGGAATAGGACTCTGATCACTACTGTGAACCGAGTTCCGGTCTGAAGGGCGATACAGCCTTTACGTAGCATATCTAATATTTCCTATCTAAAGTCTTAAAATAGGTGTCGGCATTTAAGATTTCTATGGGCTCTAGAAATCGCTTAAAACCAGATTGGCTATAATACGATAGACCTATCCATTTAGTAAATTAAAATATTGAAACCCTGCATAGCTGAAGCTGATATTAAGTGAGTAATTACGTCTAATCTCATACCAACAAATCATTTAACTTACTTGGAGTCCGAATATTGCAGTCAACGTTTTCAGCGTAATCGCAGTAGCCGTCTCCAGAGAACATCAATCCCTTAGGGCAATCCTGCTCGAAAGACCAGCCGTCCCAGCAATTAAGGAAGCTATTGCATGACAAAGGCGATGGGACTTGGGCCCTTTTTCCTTCGCAAGCTGGATTGCTGACGATCGCTGGATCTTTTTTAGGATTAATTATAAGCTCTTGCTGATATAGTGGGTCATACTCAATCTTCTGAATGATTTCGTTGGAGACAGGAATTGCAAAGGCAGGCAGCGAGCTGCTATGCGAGGTCTGCGCAATATAAATTTTAAAAATAAAATATTTGCCTAACCAATAAACATATGTAAAGTGTTTGAGAATGCTGAAGCTATAAATCTAGTTACTAACATTATACATTCAGCTTTCTTGAAATAACCTATCAGAATTACTGTGATTAAATTTTAGTTCATAGAGTATAACTAAAAATATTTCAAATGCGTTGATAAAGTAGTTGGACCAGTCGTATTCGGAATGCTCTGATAGACACAATCATCTTTTTACTATCCTAACTTTTTATTTTGCAAAGGCGATGCTTTCCAGTTTGAAGGATGGAATATCCATCATACAATACATTTAAGATTTCTTACTAAATTAAGTCTGAAACTTGTATCGTATTTCCGTAGCCGCTTAACACTAGATTGGCTTGTGAGATACTCGTATCTTATGATTGAGATTAATGAATAACAACAAAAAACTTGAAGCTTAATTGCATTGTTGCAATACGTTACGTCATTCATGTATCCATTTAAAGTAGTTCCATTTAATACGAATATACGAATGAGTTATATTAAAATATGTACAATTAAAAGTTATATTTAACAAGTTGAGTTAACAAATAATGATCCTAGTGATATATTATTCGAATTCAAATAGTTTCTTTATATGCATCTGCGAGCTATCGCTTTGTCTGAAAGGACAAATCATTGTTTTCAGATCGTATTTCCCCACTGCTGACCTAATCGACTTATATACGATTCAAATATTTTTTCTCAATTACATTTCAATCTCTGTTACTGGGCTTCCACATCAGAATAATAAAAAAAGTACTAAAGACTTGGATCTGGAATGACTAGTAAGTCGTTTCGGTGAGACTCGAGTTCATATAATTTAAGATGAATATGGGATAATAGAGTGCGATTTTTATAAACCCACGTAGCTAACAGATAGGCCGCTAGTTCGTATTCCTATCTATATTATAATAATAATAAAAAAATTGTTGAAAAAATGTTTACCCGAATAAATGCGAAGAAAGGATTGAGGAAGTTGCCATAGAAAGGCAGTTTGTCAGCGTGAAGAGCCAAGTCACGTAGGTACGGATTAGTATACGTCTTCACCAAATTGCCATCTTCATCGTAAACTGTAAAACACAAGAAATTCACAAACGGTTTGTCAAATGAACAAAAATTAGTAATGGATTTAGAGTTATGTCTATATTGCGATATGCGTTTTCACCTGCATTAAATTTAGAATTCACTTGTTTTTACTTTTTTTCCTACCTAAGCTGATAGCCTTGAGCGGCTATGTCAGCGTAGCGCAGGGAGTTTTGCTAGCACTGGCCTTAGCAAGAGCAGTGTTTCGTAGAATCTACCACCGGATCGGAAACGCGATCCACTGAGGAGATCCGACGAGAAACACAGTTGGCTGTGTCTATCGGTTAATTTACTCATAGAGCCCTTCGTCGTAAGCGACGGGTTCGGCGAGGACGGTGACCGGGTGCTTTTACGATATCACCACACCACAATAATAATAATGATACCAGTGAAACATGTGGCTGTTTACTCAACAACTACTAAAACGCAGTTTTTAGTGTCAATTAAATAGTCTCATAGGTATAATATGCTGAAACAGCTAGTAGGCGCCTATCTAAAAATAAATTTAACGAGGACTACCTACGCTAAGGATGTATCTAAGATATGTACGTGTGTGGGTACGCTGGAGGTCAGAGTCCTGTATATGCATCTTTTGTGTACAATAATTAAATACGGTAATTAGGAATCGTTGCTAAAAACGTCAATAGTTGATGGTCACTCAGACCTAAGGGAAGGTACTTTTTTAATTTTATTTCACTGATTGTCCTATAGCTACAAGAGAAGTTTGGTTCACAATCTTGAGGATATTTAGAAAGCAGGTTTTTTATTGCATCAGGAATACGAGCCAAGCATCGCTTCATCAAGGAACATAAACGTCACAGCCTGAATACCGCCAGCTACCTTAAGACATGAGGTCTAAATGTCAATTGTATTACATAGTGCCACTCTATGAACGCCTGACTACGTCACGGTAGAAATAAGCAGGATAGTAATACTTATCCATACAGGCTGATAGCATGCCTTACAGTTAGTAATTACGCAATTACCTATTATCGATCTTTCCTTCAGACTGCGCGCTGACAAATATACAACTTACTAATTAAACCAGTATTTATGATTACTATATTAAAATAATATTCATTTTCGTTTTCTATAGGGTAATGAAACATAAAGCAACTCCATTCATTTTGATAAAATTATTAATTTTAGTAAAAAAAGCTTGAATTTTTATGAATACCTACTATTCGTATGCAAGATCATTAAACCTAACGAGGTTGCCACATAAAACTATGCAATCATATTAAATCATTTAATGACAAATCATTTAAACGTTTTTCCGTGAGAATCAATTTAACTAATGTTGATACTATGCGTTTTGTATGTAATGTAGTTAATAATTTTTTTAAGCAGTATATTAAGCTCAAAAGATAGTTCAATACAAAAGGAAATGTTTTCCTAAAAATATTGGTTACGGACCATTTGATCTTCAATTATTACAGTAGGTAGTCCATAGACATCACTAGATTAAAACCACCACCCAAAACATCTGCTTTAAATCTCAATTGTATAGTACTCGTATAACGGCTATTACTCCCTTCAAATCAGAATGCATTATTGCTTTGCAGCAGAAATAGCACACAAAACCCAAGACATTGCAAGAGATAAAAACAGTTGCTTACATTTTTTTTACTTCTTTGAGAACGATTGAGACAAGTTTGAGTGTTTTTTTCGTTACCCAAAGCTATCAACAAAGCCCAAAGAGACCGAAACGTGAATGACACCTCAACATTTTGAGATATGAGGTCGAAATCTCGTGTCTCATCACTGATATCCATAATTTATTGAATCGTATTCTACTTACACTTAAAACCTTCGATTACTTAAAATAGCATAATTATCTTTCTATCCCTATAAACTTTCTACTAATTTATATAAACATTTAGTGTAAAAAGAGTTTTAGCATACAACATAAACTTGAGGTAATGCAGCTAAACCTGAAATTACAGGGTATGTAAAATTTGGAAAAGTACACCTTGAGTTTTGTATAATAATAAAAATCTTTTTAATGGACTTTTATCGTTTTTCCGCAAGGTATTCTAATGAAACAGAAAATGTATTAAAATAAGGATAAGAGAAAAGGTTAAGTACATTAACCTCTTCGCTGATAGCGATTTCATCCAGACATCCACAAGGGAAAGAATAGTAAAATGCGGTGTGAGAATAAAAAATTAATTATTTTTAACTTTATAATTAGTTACTTATTATAATTATAGTTAAAAATCAGTTTTTGCCATTGCTAATTACTTATGTAAGTCATACGACTGAGTATCATCAGAAGAAAAGAACTATGAGCATATTAATTAATGGCAAATTAAAATATGAGCACGAAATAACACAATCGGCTTACGTTTAAGATTATCAAATAAATGCAAGTAAATAATTTTGTACTCACACAAAAGTCTTTTTTGTCTTCCATCAGTTTGTGATGAACAACCTCCGAAAATCATCAATAAGACAAAACTGAGAACTTTAATCATTGTCGAGGGTTTGGTGAACGGCTATCTGGACAATGTCAGGGCTAAAAGCAAAGCCTAGCTTATATAGGATCGGACAAAACGAGTACTGGACATTTATACGTACGTGGGTTCTAGTTAAGGCCTGGACGCTGTAGGAACCTAAAAGGATATGCTTGTTCTGCAATGACTAAGGAATTTATCGAGCTCAATTTGATTACTATGGTTCTTTTGTTTTGTTTGCCATCTCGTGTTTTCAAAATGGACAATTAATGGCCTTTCGTATCTCGGAATTGGTACGAGTGTTGTATTTACGTCATGTTTCTTAATAAATTATATTTATGTTACATTTAACAAGAGGCTTTGCATGCGTTAATAAAAAAAACTACTTTTCGGCATAAGTATTATACTTTTTGCTGAAAAAAGGTATAATGTGTCCTTTATTGTGCCATTGACAACATAAATATATACATAATTTCAACCTGACCCGTTCAAAAGTTAAGAGGTGAAAGCGTACTAAACAATTTTAATTTTAAATAAAATATATTAATATAAAGCTCTGAAATAGTTTAAGAAACGCACGAGAATCAGTTGATCAATAAAATTTGACCATAAAAAGTTTCATTGGCCATTCATTTTCTTTTTTTTGTGTTTCCATAGCGAATGTTTGTTTTCCTTTTTTTTAGATTAATATTAAATATGCCCTTGTCCAATTTTCTTTCTTGGCACATAAAATAAAACATAAATAACTTGTGAGAACTTCTCTATGTTACAGTCTAAGCTCATGTTACATACAGACAGATTAGCTAATGCTAGAGTGTTTCCATTAGCATATATATTTTAATTCGCATTGACTATAAATGCATTGTAAATAGATCACAAAAACAGGGAATACTTAAATATTTTCTGATGCCTTACGAATTTTATTACTAAAAACTCATTTGTAGAATGATGTCTATCGACTGCAATAGCTATAATACTTACCAGCAGATTGACTATGTAATCGATCAATGACAGGAAAAAAGTAGCTTCATTTCATTCGTTTGACGTTTCTTTGATAACTACTTTCTTTATACAAAAATATCTCAACTAGCTCAAAACTCTGTTCACTTTAAATTTCACCAAAATAAGTTTGAGACCGTTGGCTCGTTAATTTTTTAGGTGTTTTTTTTTCTCTTCCTAATCTCTGGTAGCCTAAGAAGTTATTCCAGTTAAGGCCGGTAAGTGAGTTTACGGGCTTAGCCTGAGAGAATTTGCTAACACTAGCCCTAGCAAGAGCAGTGCTTCGCAGAATCTACCACGGTTTTCGCGTGTCATTCCCAGGCTCTTTATCACCAAAAAAACTTCAACTAAGATTTTCTTCTAAATAGCAAGACTACAACAATCGTGGAGTAGCATTACTCGTTATTAAACTTGTTATTAAAGTTACTTATCTTACTAATACTTTCGGGCTTCCAGTTACGAAGTACATAAATCTGCCAGAAGCCATGAATGCTTAGGCTAAGAACCCTCCACTAAGATTTTATTCTAAATAGGAAGACTACAACAATCGTAGAGTAGATTTACTCGTTATTACACTTGTTATTCAAGTTACTTATCTTACTGATACATTCGGGCTTCCAGTGCCAGAAGCCTTCATGTATGATCGGAATATTTAATTGTAATTTAAAGTTTCGAAAAGTTCCCATCCACGTGCATACGACACGACCTCTACGAGTATTTTCATCAAATGCTTGTTTTTATATTGAAAGAAACTTAGCTGGGTTTCATTAGTAACAAAAAATCTTACGTTACGGACGTTTTTTCCCGGTTAGGGTACCCCTCCGCATCGTCCCATAAGAAACTTCGTTCCAACAAAAACAATTCGTGACGTGGTGTAACGTGAAAACGTATCATTAAAGCACGTACATTCCTGAGAGAGCGATGTTGCGGCTTCTACAGAGATAACATTAATCAAAGCCTTTGAACGTCCTGATATTCGAGTTTCTATAATTATGCTCTTATTATACTCATATATAATGTTACGAATGGGATATATGTACAAAGATCTAGAGTTGAAATGTTTATGATTTAGTTAGTTCCAGATAAAAATTAAGGTATTACGTCCTTAACATATTTATATATCTGCAATAACTTAATAAGAAGCTTTCGAGCTTACAGTTCGCCTGATGTTAAAAGATCACATTGTTACTTTTGTCTCACACTTTAGAATTTGATTCACGCACTATCATTTCTTATACTTAAGTTATTGTTTATTTTTTTTATAGATAAATTATTATGATAAAATGAAAATGATTTGATTTATACTAACCTTGGAACTTATGAGTTGCGATTGGATAAATTTAATTTTAAAATAAGGCCTATCAAATATATATTTTAGAACATGAATTATTGTAACAACAAAACAATGTTAGGTCAAGTTGTTCAATTAAACTTATGGGCATGCATTAATTGTGATTATTTATTTATACTAAGATCGTCATTCAAAGCCCACACTCATACATGCCTTAAATAATGTAAGCACTAAATACTATTTAAGAAATAGGTAATGGCGACTTGAATACATTTGTATATATGTATTTACTGGTGGTTGGACCTCTTGTGAGTCCGCACGGGTAGGTACCACTACCCTACCTATTTCTGCCGTGAAGCAGTAATGCGTTTCGGTTTGAAGGGCGGGGCAGCCGCTGTAACTATACTGAGACTTTAGAACTCATATCTCAAGGTGGGTGGCGCATTTACGTTGTAGACGTCTATGGTCTCCGGTAACCACTCAACACCAGGTGGACTGTGAGCTCGTCTACCCATCTAAGCAATAAAAAAATTAGCTCTAAGACTCTATGTCCTTCTACGAACGAAGCTTGAAAATAGTTCTCAACAGCAAGGCAGTGTCACTAACAATCGTGGGCGTTTGATATTTTGTCTTCAACAGCGTTAAAATTTAACATTGTTAGTGGCTTTCCTTTGCAGTGAGATAATAATAGGTGTAAAACTGGTTACAGTTGAGCTCTGCGTATCTCAGCATCATTACGGTTTCTCCGAAGTCTAATGAACTGCCTTTATTACTGTCAGCCTGTTTAATTACTAAGATCAATGCTTCGCGCTGAATAATTTCGAATTGAACCATTCGTTTTACATTGAATAAAATAATGTCTTTAATTTATGTATGTCTTGCTTGAGGTGTAAATACGCCAAACAAAAAGGTTTTTAGTCGTAAGTGACGTAGTTGCCAAAAAGAAATCTAATTTTATTTTGTCTTGGCGGTTCATCCCATCCCATACCATCACGTTGAGGTCTCAATATTGCTCAATATTGTTTCGCGTCAGAAGTCGGACAGGAAACCAACCCGTGTTGTATTACAATATATTTTACCAAAAGCAAATTATTATAGTGACTTATTATTTTGTTTAAGTTAGCAAACTTAACGTTTTTATTTTGATTATGATTGTATAAAAGCTTTTAATTCGTCATAACTTTACCACCGACTTGGAATGTAATTTCATAATTAAAACCACTATGGCGGCTTAATCTTGCGTTTATTATTGTGCTCTTTGTCGACCTTTCGAACACTATTTTTATTTATTTAATCAACAATTTTTCAACAGCATTTAACTAGACACAGGGTACAGAGGATGTTTTCCCAAACATGAGCCAATTAAAGAAACACATTATGTTTCCAAAAAATGTTAACATAATTAATGAACACAGGTAGTCCAACTAAGGTAAAGGTAAGGCAGCTAAATAGGTAGTAGTAATAGTAATAGTAATAACTCTTTATTTATATAACACCTTAATATGTACACAGTAAAGTAATAAAACAAAAGTCGGTATATAAATCGGCGGCCTTATCGCTGAAAGCGATCTCTTCCAGGCAACCTTGCAGGGAGAGGAATAAGTTAACTGGACGGTGCTATATCTTAATAAACTTACATAAAAATATATACTTAAATACACATGTGAAAAATAAATAACATATAAGATAAACTTACATACGATTAAATACAAATAAATACTAAAAATATACAAGAAAAAATATTAAAGAAGTAGGAACTTATACAGTTATATCATAGAAGCAAAGTAGTGCGATTTCAATCTGGACTTGAAAATTTCCGGCGAGGACGAATGTTTAACGCTTAAGGGTAACGCATTCCATAAACGGACAGCTTCAACCGCAAAGGAATGGTCATAAAATGACGTCCCGTGAGCCGGAAACTTCAGCATTAAATACTCCGATGACCTGAGTGAATGAGAGCTTGTAGTATGTAGGAAATCAAAACGTTCCTGAAGGTAGCGCGGGGACGAGAAATTAAACAGGACACTGTAAAGAAAAGACAATAATATATGAACATTCCGGCGATAACGAATAGGAAGCCACTTGAGCTTAACTCGATACTCAGAGACGTGGTCATATTTGCGTAAACCAAATATAAACCTTATGATAAAATTTTATATAGATAGATTTTATAGCAGGTAGATAGATTTTATAGCAACGAACGACATGCAAATATACTGCGCAAGTCCGATGCAAATACACTGCGCAAGTCCGATCACACTCTGGCCCACAGTGCGAAAGAGAAGGCTGACCTTCTGGTCAAACTCTTCGCCTCGAACTCGACTGTGGACGACAGGGGTGCCACACCACCGAACATCCCCCGGTGTGATAGCTCCCTGCCGGAAATCTGCTTCACACAGTGTGCAGTCAGGCGGGAGCTCCGACTCCTGGACGTCCATAAGTCGAGTGGGCCAGACGGCATCCCCGCAGTGGTTTTGAAAACGTGCGCCCCTGAGCTGACACCTGCGCTAACGCGTTTGTATCGCCTCTCTTATTGCACTAACAGGGTTCCGTCTTCATGGAAGACCGCCCACGTCCACCCTATCCCCAAGAAGGGTGACCGGTCGGACCCATCGAGCTACAGGCCTATCGCGATAACTTCCTTGCTTTCCAAGGTGATGGAGCGAATTATAAATACACAACTCCTGAAGTATCTTGAAGATCGCCAGCTGATCAGTGACCGACAGTACGG